TAGAGTTATGTATCGAATCAACAAATTACTGCTGGGATTGGAAATCTGGTACCCCAGGGCATATTGAAGACCATGATTGAGCGTAGCATTGATTTTTATGCGCTACAGCGCTGCTACAGTGAGCAAAAACGCGTATTGTCCGGAGATCTTGTGTGTGTGTATGTGTATGTGTGTGTGTATGTATGTATGTGTGTGCGTGTTTGTGTGTGGGAACGAGTAAACTTTGTCACCCACTTTCAACTCAGCAATCAGGGAAGCTGGGAGGATGAAATTTTGGGGTTATGTTTCCACCCCGTGTTTTACTTTTCCGTTTTAAAACCCTCGCTCATACGCGTTTAGATCTCAGCGTACGGACTCGCGGAAAAAGTATGCCAGATTTCTTTGGCGGGGAACGATTTGGTGAACCAGAAAAGATAGAAAATTGAAACGTCCCAGGGCTGTTCTCTGTGCGTGTGTGAGCTAAAGATTTCAAATCCGGCCATTGCGCACTCTTGCGTAGCGGCTACGGTCACGTCAAAGTTTGCACCTGGAACTGTGCTAAGTCGGAAACTAGCCGGAAAACAGTAGCTGAAATTTTGTCAGAATGTTTATTGTTCGTATGGCAAATCATATACCTAAATTGAGTTTGGATTTATACCTCAAAAATATTTGTAGCGAAGTGGCCATTTCGCTTACCAGACAAGCTGCGAAGTTGAAACTTTGTAAGGTTATCCTATGCTCACATGTGACCTTAATTCAGGATGAAAATGGAAGTCCGTGCACGCAGACATGATAAATACTTAATTTTACTGCAAGCTCAAAAGTGGATGCATTTTGCAGATTTCATAATCCTCTTCCGAATTCATTCAAATTTGCGATTTTTCAAAAGACAGACATGTACCCAAAGAATGGCTGGACTTTGTGTGGAAAACTGATAATCATGCACATGTAGGTCCATGCGGCCCTGTAATGCAACACCTTCATCCCAACTGACGCCCTTCCTCCTGTATGCCAGTAAGGATCAAAGCACGGCCAATATTAGCCCAGGTGTTAGGCTACAGCGTAGGGATCATTCCTGCTAATAGCGGTCTGCGAGTTTAGCGCATAAAAACACATGGTCGCACCGACAAGCTTGGCGTGTTCCAGCCTGGGTTTTTTTTTAATGCTAATATTTTGCCTGCAGAGGGTTTTTCAATTTGATGAGGATAATGAGCATTCGTTTCAGTGTTGCATGTGTTTATCATCAAAGAGCAGTGGACAGCGGAAAAAGGATTACGTGCAAACTGGCTTGGCCGCTCTTGAAAAGCTAAAAAACTGGTATGATGAAGCGAATACTGAAGACTGGACAGAAATGTGCAATACCGCATTTTTTATACAGACACATACGCTGGAAAGTCTAAAAAAACAGCTGGAAAGCTGATTA